GCATTTCCAACAGACAGGTCCAGTTCTGTCTTCTGATTGAGACTTCGGAGGATTTGCTCAAAGGCTTCATTCACTTCTGCTTCAGTGAGGTGAGTTTTATTGAAACCGAGACCTTGGAACAGCTCATCATGCGTCTTGCCCTTTGCACCCAACGACAGCATAGCAAGGGCAGTGGAGATGCTCAGGGGAGAGAAGATGATGTTTTTAGGCTTTGAATTGGTCTGTGCAGCAATGCGTTTATACAAACTGAAAGCAAAATCTGTTTTTGCAGATTGTATCTCTAAGCTGTAATTGTCTTGATGCTTGTGGTCATGGTGATGCCCATGTTCTTGATGAACGTCCTTCGTATCATGCTGAACCTTCCGTTTTCTACCCTGGATAGCGGAGCAGAGCAGAGTTGCTATGATGCATAAATAAATCACTATCTTCCCCATCCTGAAAGGTATTGTTTTTATAAAGGACCAATACCAGAATCTGCCAATAAAAACACATAAATACATTTCTAAAAATATGTTTAGAGCTTGATAAGTTTAGAGACAGTATCATTTCATTCTGAATATAAGTTGATTATTCCATTTAGATACTTTAGTGTTTTATCATTTTCCTTGCCACTTGCCGCAAATCTCGAACAAGTACCTTGTACGAGATTTGTACTCTCGTACAAGGTGGACTCGTACAAGTACCTGGGAGTGCACATCAACGATAGACTGGAATGGTCTAAGAACATCAAGGCCATCTATAAGAAGGGACAGAGCCGACTTTACTTCTTGAGGAGGCACAGGTCCCTCAATGTATGTAGTAAGATGCTACATACAGTATGTTCTATCTGTTGGTGGTAGCGAGCGCCATTTTCTACACAGTGGTATGCTGGGGCCCTAGGATTAGAGCAGTGGATTCTAAAAGGCTGAACAAGCTCATCAGGAGAGCAAGCTCTGTCATTGGGTCTGACCTGGACCCCTTGGAGGTAGTGGCTGAGAGGAGAATGGTGTCTAAACTAGAGGCCATCATGGACAACATCTCCATTCCCCTCTATGACAGGCTTGTAGAAATGAGGAGCACGTTCAGCAATAGACTGATTCATCTACGGTGCGACAGGGAGCGCTACAGGAGGTCATTCTTGCCTTCTGCCATAAGACTGTACAGCGCATCCACCTTGCGTCTGGGCAGAGGCAACATTGACAGTGACCTGTTTCTGGACTGAACGCATCTACACATCTACTGCTACATCTGTTCTCTTTCCTTTCCCGTTTACAACCTTTTTGTGTGCAATATATGCCAGGGACCCATGCAATACATTTATATTTATATCTATATCTATATTTACATCTTTATTTATATTCATATGTGTGATACGATTTTT